TTTTTTTTTTTTTTTTTTTTTTTTTGTTATACAAACGATTTTGTACGAATTTTATTATATCCACGGAGTGCGAGGAGCCTTGTGAATATTATACATATCTATTTCGTATACATATAGCGTAGTGACTCAAGTATGCGAATGGGAGGAGCATGACGAGAATGTTTTACACCCTGAGAATTGTTAATTATTTTAAAATAAATCATATCGATCCCATCAACGAGACATTTTCGTTCTGATTGTTTTAGCATCACCTGTCCCCTCATGTCATTGACGTAAGGTCTTCTAAATTTTATTGGAAAATCATTCTCTAGATTTCCACATTGGTTTGAGGTTAGTACAAATTAAAACGATTCATCGAATTATATTTTCGAAGGAAAATTTTTTCTTCGATAATAAGCTAGGGACATTAGACTAGGGATAATGGACTAGGGACAGTAGACGAGGGATAATGGACTAGGGATAATAACTAGATATAAAAATTCGTTTCCCATAGATCTTTATTTATACAGCAAAATTAGTAGGTACAATTCGTAGAAGGTACAAAACAGGAACGGATTCGCGAGTGATCACATATAGATTCTCGGTTAGGAACAACGAGACGTCACTTACATCGATAAACTGATGGCACATTGATAATAAAAATACTCGATCGTGAGAAAAAGAGAGAGAAAGAAGAACGTTCGCGTGGACAATAGTGAAACGAATAGGTTCCAGAGTCTTTCTTAGATTTAACGAAACGTTTCATAAATTCAACGATTAGACGAGAAAACACATTTAGATCGGAAATAGAAAAGCAGAACGCGATGTTCTTTCGATGTCCGCGATCAGCCCGAACAGATTGACTCACGCGGAATTACATAATTCCTCTCCGAGACGGGAGCCAACACGTTTCTCGGGACGAAGCACGAGCAAGAAGCTCGTGTTCTTCACGTTTCCGTGCTCGACGGAAATAAACGCGGCGTAATCGGGCAATTAAAAATTGTAGGCGTCTCAGGACGCGTTATTGGGCGGTGGTTCGTTGGAATCGTCGCTCAACACCGGTTTTTCGGTATTTTTAGTACCCTCGGTGGTCGATGATTCAGGTACCTGAACAATAACACCGTCATCAGGCACGTAACTTTGCGTGATTCGATCGATATACAGTTACTTGGATATAGAGCACAAAATAAAATAAGAAATAAAGAAAGGATTTGCATGTATTCAATATATCGACATTTCGAATAATTAAAAATACGTAGAGAGCAGGTCGAGAAGATAGAAAATCATTTCCAAGAACTCGATAATAAATTCCCGAAATTTAAATAACTCTAAAGCATACTAAAATAGTAAACGCGATATAACTTTACATACGTGCAAACATTCGACACGTGATCGTACACGATCCTTTTTCATAGAACCATGTACACGACTCGTGAGCGAATTACCATCACGTGAACGGAACGACTACGCAAAACGGGTTCTTGGAAACTCGAATCGGAATCAATCGCGAAGAAGAAAGTGTTTCTCAACCGACAAAGTGCGCTTACCTGACGAGGTAGATCCGGCAAAGTGGTCGCTAGCCTGCGACTAGGTAGGACATCAGGCATGGGTGGAGGTACCGGGGGTTCCCCGTAGACCTCGTGAAGCTCCTCTAACCTAGTACTCAAAGCAGATCCTCTTCTGCTGGTCGCGTTCATCTTGTTCATCAACCATTTAGCCTGCTCCTCCAACCTCTTCAGTCTGTCCTCTCTGGCAGCCAAAGCCTCTTCCGGTGTCCTGGTCTTCGCACCAGGAGCCTTCCTCTCGTCTTGCTTGAGCGACCCATTGGCCTCTGAGGAACTCGTCTCTCGTTTATCGTTGCCACCTGGCGAGCTCGAGGACGCAGCCTCAATAGTAGAGAATTCCTTGACAGTCTCCAAGCTCGAAGAAGAGTCCACGGACACGTTGTCAGAGTCTATCACGCCCCGTTTTTCCCTGGACTCCGAGTCCTGACTGTTTACAGAGTCCAGAGTCGACGGGACCTGTTCGTTCGACAAGGACGCGCCGAAAACTGGAGCAAAAAGTGGATTAGACGGACCGACGATCAATGGATCGCTGAATTGGACGTTTTTCACGATCGAAGGTGGCACGCTAGACAGAGGGAAGGGCCCGATAGAGAACACGGGCTGTGTGCTGGCTGGACTAGTCACATTGGATGCAGGACACACGAACGATATCAGGGTTTCTTCGTTCTTTGCTTTCTCACCGTCCGAGTCTGTTGACTCTCGAGGATCTTCGATCGTGATCGATGGTTGATCGATTTCTACAGAAGTGTCCAGGCTGGCAACTTCCTTGTCGAGTTCTTGAGGCTCTTCTCGAGGAGACGACGTGATCCAGGAGTCGATGAGAGGCTCATCGGGATCGGGGTCTATCAAGACCAGGTCTTCCTTAGCGAGATCCACACAGGTGATGACATCGTTGGGGCTCGCAAAGGTGATACTCTCGCTTCCTATCAGGTCTTGGATGACGTTTGTCAGAGCCTGGTCCAAGGGGTTCAGTATTTCCTGAGGACTTCCTGGGAGCAGCTGTTGGGAAAGAGGAAACGTGAGTTTCTGGAGTTGGTCTAGGGCCAGTATGGGTGGCAATGGTTTCTAACTCACTGGTGACTCTGCAGGGTTCGTAGATTCGGTGTTCAGAGTCGCATCAGTGACCTCGACATCGTCTAGCTCTGCTTCCGTCTCTGGAGTAGGCGTTCGTTGCTCCAACGTCGTCGAGGAACCTGTCTTTGGCTCGGATAGCTCAGTGTCTGTTGGCTGTTCTGATTCCGTGTCTGGTGTCGGGGCACGAGGACTCTCCTGAGGTTATATTTTTAGAGTGAGAATAATTGTAATATTTTAACAAACGGATAATAGAGTTAGATCGATGGAGTTTGACCAATCTTAACCTTTCGCGGTCTTCTGCGCGGACCTAGTCTGATCCTGCCCTCCACAGCGTTGTCTTCTTCGTCCGTGTCGTCTCCTCGCTCGTCGCTGAATCCACTTTCGGCACTGCATCGAGGAATTAATTACAATCGAGTATGATATCGAAGAAAAGAAAATGTAAAGTAGGTTATAAAATTGGAGACATCGTTTTACCTGTTATTGAAGGAATCGTGAGAAGCCAGAGCCTTCCTAGCAGCGAACTCTCGCCTCAAGCTTCTCCACTCCAATTCCGTATTCGTGTTCTTCTGCCTAGCTGACTCCCATTTCTCGCGACAGTATTCCAATTCCTGCTTCAACTCTTGCAACATTTTTCGCTTCTGCTGCAACTCGTACCGTAGGATCTTCTCGTGAGTGTGCAACTGATGATGCTGAGCCTGCATTCGGTCCACTATCGTCCAAGTTTTGCTTAGCTCCGCTGACACTGCTGACAGTCTCTTCTCCTGGGGACAAACGAGACAATGTTTTCATTGTAGGAATTTCTGTCAACTTTTCTGTTGGCGAAATCGATTATATCAACGCCGGAGCAACGACGCCATTAGTAGACAGAGGTTGTAACAGTCATTTTCAACTGCTTTAGGAAAAGACGTTAGTCAAGCGCGAGATACTATAGAGCATGGCAATTGTCGAAAGCTGCCCTGCGTTTCCTCTTTCACCTAATTACAACAGTTTTCGATACGAAGCTTTAATTTCTCACCTGTTCCCCAAGTTTGCTTTCCAAATGAGTGTTCAGCTGTTTCATTCGATTCATCTCCTTCTCCAAGTGTTTCTTCTCGAGGATCAATTCCTTTAATCTGATATACGTTTTGCTGACCGAAATCACTAGTCTGGGACCAGCTGGGGTGTCCACCGACTTGTAACAGATATTTGGGTCCGAGGATGATGCCGCGGAAGCTGATGGAGCACCTTCTGCGTGACAGCTCAGCAGCTCCAATAGCACTCGCCAAACCTGACATGGAATTTCTCGTTAAGAATTCAATTACATTCCGAAATGTAGTAAAGCTATATGTGTAGGAATGGTAAAATGGTAAAATAAGAGACACTCGTTTATTAGAATAGATCAACGCGAAAAAATTCTGAAAAGGTAAGCGAATCTTTAGGTGTTACCTTGGGCAGATTATGAGCTATGTCGTCTTGCTGCAAATCGTCCTCCTTTTTCTCAGCTTCGCCCTCGCTTCCGTTCTCTCCGTCAGCGCGTTTCTGGGATCCTTTACTGCCCTCCACTTGCTCGATTAAGTCGAGAAGCAGCTTAGGAAGCGCCGCAGCCTCGGTGCCTTCCTCTCTCGCCATATCGCATATGAGATCGTGATTCTCCTGTTGGGTCAGAGGGTCTCGTCAAAATTTATTTTAATATTTAATCACCACGAAGCAAAATTCGTAATAGTCATAGTGGTTACCTGAAGTAACTGAGTCAGTCGATCGAGGTCCATGTCGGCAGAGGTGGCACCCAAGAGCATCTGCGTGAACAGGCCATTGATCAGAGACATTTGATTCTGGAGATCCCTGCAGTCAGCCTTGGTCAGCCCCAGCTGAGACTCTAGGTTCGATATCTCCGAGTCCTGGGCGTCGATCTGTCCCAAATTTCCAGAATAATTTCAATTTGCAAGAGAGACGGAATATATATGAAAATTTGTAATAAAAGTAGAAAAATTAATAAATTATTGGTTATTACTTGTACGTACGTATGTAAAAATGTACATATAATAGGCAAAAAGTTTATAAATTATTACACCTATTTTTAATAACAAATTAATATTGTTATTAACAAATTGCTCGTGACGTATATTTGTAATAAAAATTAAAAAATTAATAAATAACCGGTTAAATTAATAAATATCTGAATTTCTGACGTAGGTGTGGAAAAATGTACTTATAGTTTGCAAAAAAGTTTGTAAATTATTAAATATATTGTTAATAACAAATTGATATTGTTATTAACAAATTGCTCGCGATGTATATTTATAGTAAAAGTGAAAAAATTAATAAATTATTAGCTATGAGAGCGGAAAATTAATAATTAATAAAATCGACCAAGTCCGAAAATTTTCGATGGGAGTGGGGAGTTCGGCCGATCGGAGGCTATATAAAGGGCGACGCGACGCAGCAGAAGTCATTTGTCACTTCGACTTCCGAGGTGTAGTATCTAAATTTTTTGGTGCGCGAGGGGTGGGAGTCGAAAGTGAGGTTGGGGATGGCTACCCCAGCCTCACCCCACCCCATTAAACAATTTACTAATAATTTTGTTCTTGTTTTCAGATATTAATAATTTTTTTCTTCTAGGTTTTAATTTATTTTTCTTTTTACAGGTATTATTATTTTTTCTTTTTCCAGATTTTTTGTTTTCGTTTCTACTGATTTCTATTTGGACATTCGAATATTTCGTACGATATTCGAATGTCTCGTCGTTGGGTTGTTCATATCTCATCGTTGGGTTGTTCATATCTCATCGTTGGGTTGTTCATGATATTCGAATGTCTCGTCGTTGGGTTGTTCATATCTCATCGTTGGGTTGTTTATATCTCATTGTTGGGTTTCGTATCTCTCATCGTTGGGTTCTTAATAATTATTTTTCTTTTCAGGTTTAATTTATTATTTTTTCAGATTTTAATATTTTTTCCTTTTCAGGATTTAATTACTTTTCTTTTTACAGATTTTATTTTTTCGTTTCTATTGATCATTACTTGAAAATTCGAATATTTCGTTGTTGGTTTGCTTATGTCTCATCGATGGCTTGCTCTTTCCACTTGGTTAACCTTCATGGTTTCTATTCGTTCGTTTTCTTCCCTCGTACTAATCCGTTTTCTTTCAGGTTTATATTAACAATAATATATTCTGTTTTAGCTTCTAGGTTTAGAAGATTCTCAAGTTTCCTCAAGACATTTGGTACACATCAATGGACAACGAGGTATGTGTTAGATCTAAGTAGTGATAAGATAGATACCTAGACTAAGTTTCATGTGCGCGCTATCTGTACAAAGGTAAGCTATCTAACTTGGAGCGAATTTCATATTTATCCCTCTCGTTACCAAACGGAACATAATTGTTCTCGCGATATTCGTGATCGTTCTTAAGTACCGACTAGCCTGCGCGACGCACTCTCGTGTACTCGAAAACTTCACGTCTCATAAGTCATCCCACGACTCGTCTCCGACACTCATTTCCAGCCACTGTCAATCTCGTCAAGCATCGAGTTCCAGGGTGGCCCTTGGGTCACTTGTTTCTTCTGGACTTGATGCGGGGGTCCAGCTGCCCCGGTCGTACGCGACTGGGGTTCGGGTACGCAGTTGGACGGACATAGTGTCTACGGTTAGACCACAGGGATGATTAAGTTCTACCCCGTGTGGCTGGGATGCGAAGTGTCTGTCTGACTTGCAAGGCCCCGCCGGACCCTCGTGTCGACTCTGGAAGTTTCATTGGTTCGGGGACTATCCTTGGTCCACGTGTAAGTCTTGACGAGAACGACAGTGACTGGACTCGAGCTAGGCCCGATCGGAAGGGTGCCGAGGCATGAAGTTGTCTTGTACACGAGAGTACATCTCGTAGGCTAGTCGGTCTTTCGAATAATCGCGAACTCGTTCGGGCGCGTCGCGATTTGTACTTAATTTTTCTTTGCTCGCGATTTTCATATTTGATTCCCTAAATTTCTGGGAACTTATAAATATTAGAGTCTTAGCGTTGCGACAGTAGAGTAATAAATTTTAGTATACCGTATCGAAAACCCTTTTGTAAGACACGAAATATAATAAAGTGTCAGTAGATTCGCTTTAACTTCTTTCGCTCCAAGTTAGATTAGCATACCTTTGGTGCAGATAGTGCCAGTAGGATGCGCCACTAGGGCGCATGTCCGGGTCTCGATGCGTAGCCACCTCCTCGTGGTGAGACCTGGTAATTGGTATCGTTTTCCAAAGAAAAATCTTTGTGGAACGATACCAAGCTAAGAGCTACGCACAATGCTCAAGATATTTCCTATCTCTTATAAATTTTCAATGTTCCCTTTGAATTTTGCAAGTAGAAAGTGAGCAATATCTGTTGAAGTAATATGTACAGCAAGATGAACAAGGCAAGTATTGTAAGGTATGTATCGCAAGGTAAGTATTGTAAGGTAAGTATAATTTAAAATTTTATCTTTAAGCACGATATAAGAAAAATAATTAAAATCTTCTGTCATGTTATATTCTCCTGATACAAAGTCGCGAAATTGGCCAAAAGTTGTTCACCAAGTCCGCAAAAGTATTACCTACGGAATTCTTGGAAATGACGTTATTTCTTGGAATCGGGCAATGAACGACGTCCTGTCATGTTCTGTTATCCTGATACATAGTCGCAAAGTTGGACAAAATTTTTTCGCCGAGGCCTTAAAAGTATTGTCCAAAAACGGCAAAAGTATTGTCCACGGTGGCGGCAAAAGTGTTGTCCAGAAACGGGAAAAGTATTGACTAGCAACGGGAAAAGTATTGTCAACCGTGGCGGCAAAAGTATTGTCCAGAAACGGGAAAAGTATTGTCCAAAACGGCAAAAATATTGTCCAGAAACGGGAAAAGTATTGACCAGAAACTGGAAAAGTATTGACCAGAAACGGGAAAAGTATTGTCCAGAGACGGGAAAAGTATTGACCAGAAACGGGAAAAGTATTGTCCAGAGACGGGAAAAGTATTGTCCACTATGGCGGCAAAAGTATTGTCCAGAAGCGGCAAAAGTATTGTCCGTGTAGGCTGCAAAAGCATTGTCCGAGAATTCTTGGAAATGACGTCACTTCTCGGAACTGTCTCGGCGAGCGACCTCCCGTTATATTATGTTCTCCTGATACAAAATCGCGAAATCGGCCAGAAACTTTTCTTCGAGGCGGCAAAAGCGTTGTCTGAAAATTCTTGGAAATGACGTCACTTCTCGGAACTGTCTCGGCGAGTGACCTCCCGTCATATTATGTTCTCCTGATACAAAATCACGAAATCAGAAAGAAACTTTTCTTCGCGGCGGCAAAGGTATTGTCCGAAAATTCTTGGAAATGACGTCATTTCTCGGAACTGTCTCGGCGAGCGACCTCCCGTCATATTATGTTCTCCTGATACAAAATCACGAAATCGGAAAGAGACTTTTGTTCGAGGCGGCAAAGGTATTGTCCGAAAATTCTTGGAAATGACGTCATTTCTCGGAACTGTCTCGCCGAACGACTTCCCGTCATATTATGTTCTCCTGATACAAAATCGTGAAATTGGCCATAGATTTCTTGCAGGGACTGCAAAAGTTTTGACACAGAGAATTCAAGGAAGTTTTGTCTGTCTTTGAAACGCTATAAAATTCGAACCACGTGACTGATTCAACTCGCAATCGATTCGGCCGTCATCGAAAAATGTCATCTTTCGCTACTCACTTTCAGACCGGAATCTTCCGGCCAAAAATCAGTAAAAAATCTCGCAAGCTCAAAAGCTCGAGATAACCACATGTACAGATAAGGCACACTGTAAGCTCTCCCATATCTAGAGCTCACATTCCCAGCTTCACTAGGAACTAGGCAGTGACCTCAAATGTATTGTCCACTCACTTCTTGGAATCGGTCGTCGAACGACCTCCTGTCATGTTATGCTACCCTGATGCAAAGTCGCGAAATTGGCCAAAAGCTTTCATCGAGGCCGAAGCGGAATATCTCCTCACATGTTACGTTCGCCTAATATAAAATCGCTAAATTGGCAGAAGATTGCATGCCAACATAGGCGAAGAATTCTTGGAAAATGCCATAGTACCAGAAAGGAATTGTAGGATGAAAGGAAAAGGAAGGGATGCGTTTCGTCTTGGGATTCATCAGGAAAACTACCTAGCAGGCTCTGCCTATAGACGGGAATACTATTGGCAAGTCTGGAAATTCTATATACATAGAAAACGAGGAGTTTTTACCGAGAACTTTCTTGCAAGTCCTCGAAACTCCATCAAGTAGCAATCCATCTATTGCCAAGGGTGAGAATGATTCCGCAACCCTACTTTATAATCATTGCAACGTTAACACATTGCGTACGGGTGACGAGATATCTCGTCTTTAGCAAGCCGAACGTTGTGGCCAGGTGACGAGGTATCTCGTTTTCATGTTTCTTCGACTCAATCGATGATTTAAGGAATTAAAAATAGACTTTCTTGTTACGTTACCAGGGTAACGAAGTCTTGTGTATATAAAGTAACATTTATGTGAATACAATACCAAATGCAAATCAAAAAAGTGCACACATGCATCGTATAAAGTGTTTCTGGGTCCCTCAAAAAGATGCTGGCCCTGGAAGCGCGTTGCGTTAACTTAGATAACTATGCAATGTGTTAACTTGGATAAAATTCGTCCCTGAAGAGGTTAACGTCACGAATCAAGAATCGATCACCGTCTAAATAAGTTCTACGATACGTGTCAAGCATTTTCTAATACCTTCTCGTCAGCCTTCTTCAAGTCGTCCTCCAAGCATTCGCACTTTTTCGACGAGTGGTCCAATCTCACCCTGGTCTCGGCCAGCTCCCTCACTGCCGTCTCCCTCAGTTCGTTCAGCACTTTCAGCCTCTCGTTATAAAGGCTCTTCAGGCTATTGATATTCTCCAGCTGACGTTCACACTCCAGGTCGGCCTCGTCCTTCAGCTCCAAGAAGCTTCTGTCCCCCAGTCGGACCAGAATCTGCGCTAGATGGTCCTTCAGGTCGTTGGCATGACGCTCCGTGACGTAAACGGCCTCACGCGTGCGATTGGTTACGTCTGACAGGCAACGGATGCGGTACCGATTCTGATCGGTGTCACTTTCCAAATGGTAACGGAAATCGTCCACTTTGTCCATTTGCACGCGGATGTCGTTCCTCAGTTCGTCCGATACCTAACGTCAAACAGCGAAATTTTGAGATTCAGGGAAAATAAAAATTTTTGGAATCAATTTGGAAAATAATTTCTCGATGTTGACTTCACGGAGGCGACGTTTCATCGTCAAACTTTGACACTTGGTAGAAATAAAACAATTTCTGAGGCCCAAAAATTGCATACGATTGGATTATTGAAGCATTCTTTGTTAATGCAGACTGTTTAAAATTGATCACTCGCAGAAGGACAAAAGGAAATAGAATTTCATCAGAGTATACAGTTACAATGGTTTAACTATCGTCTCTTTGTTCTATTCTCCCCGTTCTGTTTACTTCCCTTTGCCAGCAGTTTGTTTTAGAAACGAAAGGTGTAAACTGGCCAGCACGCGTTCCATCTTAACTGTACTCGAAGAAAGATCGGAAACTACCGATTTCGAGCGATTAACTGATTTTATTCGAGCTTTAACAAGCTTAAAATTCTCGCAGAAAGCATCGAATTTACCTTGAGAATGTTGGTTAATCGTCGAGCCTCCATACGTTGCACGGCCAAGTCGTGTTCGTTCTGTTTCTGTTCTCTGTCTCTAGTCTTTTTCAAGCTGTCACTTGCCACGCTCGTTTGAGCTTGAGAGTCGTTCTGGCCGGACCTCAGAAGCTCTAACATCCTTGAAGTTTCCGAATGAGCCTCCTTCTCCGCGTCTAATTCTCGTCTGAGCCGCTCCATTTCCGATGAAACCGCGGCAATCGCTCTCTGTCTGGCTTCCCTCTTCAGCGTTAATTCCTTTTTGAATTCCTCGATGTTCGTCGCGCGGTCTGCAGGTGGACTCTCTTGCGGGTCGTCTATCGACTCGACTGGATCTGTTGAAAATAAAATAATCGGACGATTTTTAAAGAAATTGTAACATATTCCGTTGCCAAAACTGAGCAAGTGTTTTGACAGAGCTTTGACATAGTTTTGGAGAAGAGAAGAGGTATAGGATCTTTCAATAATGCTTCAATAATAATTAATTTCCGAATTAATAATGTATTATTATTGTTTCAAACGTAGGTAATGAAGAAATTAATTATGAAAATTGTAGGAATTTTTTCGAAGTTTTTAATAAATCGTTTGAGTGATCCTTGATCGAGTGATCCATTTCTGAACGAGTCTGTTCATTTACAGTGTCAAACCCGAGTGGCCTAATTACGTAATAATTTAACTCGTGTTTCACTACTCCTGCACGCACCTTACGTAAACAACGTGGAAAGTAATATGTTCGTTTGCCCACCAACTTTTGCCAATTATCCCAGCATGCTTAACTCTAATTTTAGTTTTAATTTAGGTCCTATTAGCGAAACGTACCAACGTCTTCTTTTAGATCCACATCGTCCTCGCGCTTCCCTTCAGTCTTGATAGTCTCCTTCAGTCTTTGAATCTCGTCCAAAGCGTCCTCGAGAGCTTTTATCTGC